GTGCGCCTTCGGCGTAGGATCTGGGAAGTTTTTGGGTTTTATGGTCAGTCATCGGGGCATTGAAGCTAACCTTGAAAAGATCAAGGCCTTGATCGAGATGCAGTCACCCAGAACGGTTAAAGAGGTTCAATGACTCACTGGCCGAGTTGCAGCCCTCAACCGCTTCATTTCCCGCGCAACGGATAAGTTCCTACCATTCTTCAAAGTTCTTCAGCAAACTTTTGAATGGACAGCTGAATCCGAAGAGGCTTTTCAACAGTTGAAGCAGTGCATGGCCAACCCCCCTCCTTTCACAGGCAATCACGGGCGAGCCCCTCTTCCTCTATTTAGCCGTATCAAGCACCGCTGTCAGTACAACTCTTATCAGGGAAGACGGCTCTGTCCAACGACCGGTCTACTACATCAGTCGGGCCCTCAGGGAAGCGAAACAAAACTACCCACTGAAAAATTGTCCTTGGCCTTGGTCACCGCCTCCAGACGACTCTGTCCTTACTTCCAAGCCCACTCTATAGTGGTCCTCACCGACCAACCCTTGAAAAAGGTCATGCAGCAACCAGAACTTTTCGGTAAACTCATGCAATGGTCAGTGGAACTCAGCCAGTTTGACATCTCTTACCGGCCTCGAGGCCCTCAGGGAAGCGAAACAAAACTACCCACTGAAAAATTGTCCTTGGCCTTGGTCACCGCCTCCAGACGACTCTGTCCTTACTTCCAAGCCCACTCTATAGTGGTCCTCACCGACCAACCCTTGAAAAAGGTCATGCAGCAACCAGAACTTTCCGGTAAACTCATGCAATGGTCAGTGGAACTCAGCCAGTTTGACATCTCTTACCGACCTCGAACAGCAATTAAGGGACAGGCTATCGCCGATTTCATCCTGGAATTCACTAATCCTACCCCAACCACTGCCTCTCTACCCCCACCAGCTCCCATCGAGCCAAAAGACCCTCATTCTTGGACTTTCAATGTCGACGGATCATCCCGCAGGGAAGGTAGTGGGGCTGGCCTCATCCTCACCCCCTCGGAGGGTGGTTATTTCAAATGTGCTCTCCGTTTCTTGTTTGAGGCCAGTAACAATGAGGCCGAATATGAGGCATTGATAGCAGGTCTTCGCCTAGCCAGGGAAATTGGTGTCAGCCACATCCGAGTGTTCAGCGACTCCTAGCTTATTGTCAGATAGATCACGAGAGAATTCGATGCCAAGGAGGACATAATGCGGGCTTACAGGGATATTGCACTTCCCTTTGTTCGCCTCTTCAATACCTTCCACATCAAGCACATTCCTCGGGCGGAAAACTCTAAGGCAAATGAGATGGCTCAGTTGGCTTCCGCAGACCAGTCCGACCTCAGCCGTGGTGTCCGCCTCGAATACCTATCCCACCCCACCATTTCCCCCGACCAGCACAAAATACAATTCCTCCAAAATGAGCCCATCTCTTGGGCGTCGGACATCTTGCTATTTTTGACAACGGGGGAACTTCCAGACGACCAACAGCAAGCCGCCAAAGTCAGGGCCCAGTCGTCCAATTACATCCTCGTCAGCGACATTTTGTACAAACGTGATTTCTCACGCCCCTATCTGCGGTGCCTCAATCCGGCTCAAGCAACCTATGTGATGCAAGAAATTCATGGGGGTATTTGCGGCAATCACTCAGGCGGCAGGTCCCTGGCCCACAAGATACTTCGCACTAGATATTTCTGGCCTACTCTCAACCAAGATGCGACTGACTTCGTGCTCAAATGTGATAAGTGTCAGCATTTTGCTAACATCCCCCATGCTCCTCCCACTGAATTGATCACACTTTGCAGCCCTTACCCGTTCGCCAAATGGGGGATCGACCTAGTTGGTCCTTTACCCACCGGCCGAGGCCAGACCAAATTTGCCATTGTCGCCATTAATTATTTCACTAAGTGGATAGAGGCAGAACCCCTTGCCACCATTACCGAGCGGAACACAACCAAGTTCATCTGGCAGTCGATCGTTTGCAGGTTTGGCATCTCCCAAGCCATCGTCTCCGACAACGGCAAACAATTCGACAACGCCAAGTGCAGGAAGTTCTGTGCAGACCTCCAGATTCAACCATGTTTCTCTTCCCTCGGTCATCCCCAAGCCAATGGCCAAGTTAAGGTCACCAACCGTTCTCTTCTGAAGATCGTCAAAACCAAGCTAGAAGCTGCTAAGGGACTTTGGGCTGAGGAACTACCAAATGTACTCTGGGCTTACCGAACTACAACTCGAACTCCCACTGGGGAAACCCCTTTCCACTTAACATACGGCGCTGAGGCGGTTATTCCGGTAAAAGTCGGTCTGCCTACTCCTAGGGTTTTATATCCGGATCCAACACTTACGGAAGAGCTCCGTCGGGCAGACCTGGACCTAATTGAAGAACTCAGAGAGACCACTGCTGTCATACTGGCCTCATACCAACAGAAAATGAGAACACACTACAACCGCAAAGTCCGACCAAGGGAGTTCGCTGTAGGGGACCTTGTCTTGAGAGAAGCAACTCTTGCCACCAAAAATCCGACTAAGGGTAAACTGGCAGCCAAATGGGAGAGACCTTACGTTGTGCAAGCCCGACCACATCCGGGCACCTACCGACTTCAGGACATGGAAGGTCGAGACCTTCCCCACCCCTGGAACGCTGAACATTTGAAGCGTTACTTTCAATAAATTCCTACTGTTGTATTGCTCAGTTGTTGTATTTTCTTTTTGATGCATAATGTAAACTTTGATCGACTGGACTACATTGTCCATGACAACAATTTTATATCTCAGCTATCTGTGTGTTGTCTCAATAACATTTTCATTTGCAGCACTTATTAACAGCCTCAGCCAGACTGAGTACCAGAAACCTCAGCCAGACTGAGCACTAAAAGCCTCAGCCAGACCGAGCACTAAAAGCCTCAGCCAGACTGAACACAACAAGCCTTAGCCAGACTGAGCACTAAAAGCCTCAGCCAGACTGAGCATAACAAGCCCCAGCCAGATTCAGCACAACAAGCCTCAGCCAGACTGAGCACCACAAGCCTCAGCCAGACTGAGCACCAAAAGCCTCATCCAGACGAGCGCCAAAAAGCCTCAGCCCGACTGAGCATGAAGCACTCGGCCAGACCAAACCTTAGCCAGCCTAAGCATAACAAGTCTCCGCCAAGACCGAGCGCCACAATTTCAGGTTCAGACTGAGTTACTTACAACGTCAGTGAATCATAACTTAGCCCCAACTGAGCACGCATGCAGGGCTCGGTTAAGGCCACCCATGCAAACTTCATACTTGTGGAATTAGTAGACACACTTAGTCACAATTCCAGCTCCAAGTCTTTACACCACTCTTTGCTCAGTCAAATTCCAAAGACGTTCTTACACGTTTTCTTTACAAGTCAGGTTATTTTCTTCTCAATCAAACTCTTACAAGTCAGCCTCTTTCCTTACAAGCCAAGCCTCACTCCATAACCCACTAACCTACTTGAGTAATGTGGCAAACACAAACTTATAATTTTATTACATTTTAAATTTCACTCTGCATTGAGGAGTTCCTAACTTTACTCTGCATTGAGTTTTTATTACAACTTCAATCCCACTCTGTCTTGAGGAATTCCTAAATTCAGTTTTTATTACAAGTTTAACTCCACTCTGCACTTCACAATGATTCATACACAAGTTCCACACACAAGCCACCATTCTTATCCATTTCAAATGCACAAGCAAAAACAATCAAATGCAAAACACAACTGAAATTTTATTTATTCACAACTTTGTACATAAGTTCATTACAGCAATCTAAAAAAAAAAAAAACAAACAAAACAAAACAAAAACAACCACACAATGCCTGTGCAAGGTCTTCTTCTTCTTCTTCTGCAATTACTCTTCTTCGCTGGACACAAGGTCTTCTTCTTCAATACCCTCATCCAGGGGGGTCTGGGCCACATCGTCATCGTCGATTTTCACACTACTCAGGTCCAAGTCTGGGAACAGCTCCTCAGCTTTACGCTTGAACATCTTCCAACCACTGTCCCAAAACTCAGCCATTTCGTGTTTATAAAAGTCTGACCGCTGGAAGCTCTCAATCACTTCCGACTCAGTCCTGCCTCTAGCGGTCGTCCTCGATGGGCCTGCCCCCCCAGACTCCTCTCTCGCCAAGCTGCTGGCGACTGCGGCATCAACTGCCATTTGAAATTCAGCAGACCCCTTGAACTGATCCACTACTGCAACGCACAGATCGGGGTATGTCGCCCTTTCAGAGGCTGCCTTGGCCCTCTCTTCATCCAGTTCCTTCTGCAGGGTCGCCCTTTCAGAGGCCGCCTTAGCCCTCTCTTCCTCCCACTCCTTCTGCAGGGTCACCCTTTCAGAGGCTGCCTTGGCCCTCTCTTCAGTCAACTCCCTCTGCGCTCGCCCTCTCAGAAGATGCCTTGGCCCTCTCCTCCTCCAACTCCTTTTGCAGGCCGTCCCTCTTCTCCATTGCCTTCGCGCGCTCGGCCTCCAATTCCCTCTGCAGACCGTCAATCTTCACGTCTGCCTCATCTTTCTATTTAACCAGCTCTTCATTACTGGTCATCGCCTCTTCATGCCGTTCGAGCGCGACCGTACAAGCTTTTTAGGCCTCCTCCAGCTTCCTCTGCTCGCCAGCCAGCTGGAACTCGAGCGACACAACTTGGCGGCGTTCGTTCTCCAGCTCCAACTTGACCGCTCGCAGCTCAGCATGGGTACTCTCCCAGTTTACACTCTCCTTCTTCAACCTTGCAAGTTGAGCTTTGGCCTCATTTACCTTGAGTTTTGCAGCCCCCGCCTTTCTCAACAGAGCCCCTGCCAAGGTGGTTACCTCCATTTGAGCGGAGCATAACCCCCTCAGCAGCTCAGCCTCATTGAATCTGGCTGCTGAGCATAAGGCTGCCTCTTCCACAATCCCCACAAGGCAATCTGCTTCTGCCCTGGCTAGGCCCTCTTCTCCCTCCAGCCGCCCAGCCACTGCGCGAGCGTGGTAGATCGCAGTCGTCAGACTTACCCCCCTCCTTGGGGCGCAAGACTGCCTTGGGACTGTCCTCCTCCCATTGGCTCAGGGCCTATTGCCCCACCTTCTGCTTGCACTTCGGAGGCGACCTTTGCGACCCGTAAGGCGATTTCCACCACTGCTGGGGCGACCTCCACAACCTCCAATGCTGGGGTGACCTCCACCACTTCTTGGGCAGCCACCCTTCCTGGGGTCTCCTCCACTGCCTCATTCTCTGCCTCCTTGACCATAGGGGTGTCTTCCCCCCCAACCTTCGCCTTCTTCGACCTAGGTACATCTGCAGCCCCCTCAGGGGCACTCCTCTTCTTTTTCTTCTTCTTCTTCAGAGCCTCCCCTTCCTTGTTCGCCTGTTCCTTCATAGGATTCACTGGGGGCGGTTGTGGCACAAAACTGCCTAAGTCCTTCCCCCCCAACGGCTTGGGGCGCGGTCGGATCCTCTCCCGCGCGATCGGCTTAGGCGGTCGGTCTTCCTGCGCCTCCTTAAATTTCGTGGCCTTGGCCAGCATGGCCTTATCCTCAGCCTCCTGCACTTTCCTCCTTGCCTCCAGTTCAGCTCGCCCTACATGTCCCCCGTTCGACTGAGGACCCAACCCCGCTACAAACAAGGCTGAGGGTTGAACGAGTTCGTCCCACCTGAGCCCCTCATTCTCCCGCCACGCCTTCGCCTTCTTTATTATCTCTTCTGCTGCTGCTCCCAGCTTTGGCTCCATAGACTTGGTGGGCACTTTCCAAATGGTGCGCACTCCAACCCCTCCACTGGCGGACACATAGAACCACCGTGGTCTCCACCCCTTGATCGACGACGGCACCCCCGCCACCAGCCCTTTCCCTGCTGCTGCCTGCAGATTGATCCAAGTCTCTTGCTGCCCTGAGGCCTTGTAACATGCGAAGAATTCGTCAATTGTCATTGCCGCCCCTTCGTTCGCCTTCGGCCACACATTTGCACAGGCCAGTACGATCTTCCACGCATTGGGCATTAGTTGGCCCGGTGCTACCTCCAAACGATTCAGGACATCTACCACCACTTGCGGCAGGGGCAGCCTCAGTCCTCCCTTCAATGCTTCCTCATAAAGGGCAAACTCCCCTGGCCTGGCGTCGGATGGCCTCTCCGTCAACATCGACAACAATAACTCTATTTCAGCAGGCACCTGGTATTTTTCGCGAATAGCCTCCAAATCCGCTACAGTAACCGTTGATTTGTCAACCTTCGTGTGCCAGTGATCTGGTTCCACCTGGCTGATTGGCTTCGGAGCTGCCATTACGGTGGAGACATGAGATCGTACCACCGGCTTACCCACCCTCTCCGTTTGCCTCTCCGTCCTATACTGCTCCGCTAACTCCACTGCATCGTCATCACCAAGCGGATCCACCCTGGTATTCGCAGTTTCTTCTTGGGCCATTTCTATGGTATGTCTGCGAATCGCTTTAGATGCGGGTACAAAGAAATCGAAAAAAGTGTTGCAGAGGTGTATCGTGAGCGTCAAAGGAGTTAACACTTGGGATGTTTTTATTTTTTGCAAACAAATAGGTGAATCGAATAATACAAAAAGCCCAAGGCTTACCCGTATTCCAAGGGTCACAATTAATTTTCGCCAGTTTGAAAACTTTTCAAAACATCCGCCAAAATTGTCTTTTCAACACCTATAATGACCTATCGTTTCATTTCTGATCCAACGCCTAATCTCCCCTCTCGCGGGATGTTGCCACATGTACGACCACGATCCACTGTCTCCTCCCCTTACCTTGTCTTTTCCACTTCAAATTACCACGTGACACGCCGCCTCTCGAGCCCCACGCCCCTCCACCTCACCCTTCGCGGTTGGCCCTCCTCGTGGTCAACCCTCCCACTCGGCCAACCTTCACGGTCGGCCTTCCTCGTGGTCGACCCTCCCACTCGGCCAACCTTCGCAGTCGGCCCTCCCCGTGGTCGGCCCTTCCACTCGGTCACCCTGCACGGTCGGACCACCTCCTGGTCGGTTCACCTTCTCGGTCACCCCTGCTGGTCGACCTCCATCCTGCCAATCCCTAACACCCTTATCTTCTTCATTAGTATTCCCTTCGTTGGACTAAAGTTGCACTCGGGAATGGGGGACTACTGACGTGTATAAGCCCATAAAGGCCATGAATCACTATGAACAACCCAAGCCCATCACTTGGAGCCCAATACATAACCCAGCTGGTGAGGTCCAGAACAGCTGGAATCCAACATGGCATAAAGAGCCAATGACATTCAGGCACATGGCAGGTGAAGGACGAGCCACATCAGCAGACAAAGATTTACAAATTTATTGCCACTGCACATCACCATTAATGCAGCCCATCACAGCATTTATTACGACAATACCTCTCCGTCGGAACAGGACCCCCTTACCCTGAACAAGGTAAGTTATAGCATAGACTTTCGGCGAGGAGGGCAGGTCGGAAGGGACAGCGAAATGATTACCAAAGGATATAAGCAAACGTTGAAGACAAGAAGAAGGTTAAGCTTTCTATCTCTAATCTCTCTCTGCACCCTACTTCTCCTTCTAACTTGCTCGTCAAAGGGTTCACTGAGGGACTACCCCATTCCCCGTTGGACTTGCTTGCAGATTATCCGGTGGGCTTGATCATTTGGACGTGGGCCTGAGGAGCTTGGACCTGTTCAATCCATTCACTGGAGCAAACTGTATCATCAAATATATATGAGAAAATCATGCATTATCAAAACTATTTCATTACTTTTTTTATTACTTTTTTTATTAAAAAAGTATTTAATTTGATTTTTAAAAAAACAAACAAATTAAGCCTTATATTTTTCACACAAAAATACCAACTATCAACATTTGTCATTTGATAAAAAGATTTCCAAATTAAAACAAATTGAAAGCACAACCGAATATCTAACCTCTTTTTCAATTGAAAATACAAATAGAATATCTAAATAAATTAAAAACAAAAAATCTTATAAATTACTAGGGATGCTCGAGGTTTGACAGTTCGGTTGTGGCTAAAGAAATTTTAAATCCACCATCCGTCCAAAACTAGACGGATTGAAAAAAATCAATCCAATCCGCAACAGTCCGCTTATCATCACACATCCGTCTAAAAGTATGACATACATATAGATTTTAAAACTAAGCAAATAAAATTTTTTTTAAGGAAAATTAGAAAGAAAAAATCCCTCAAGCTATCTTTATAACAAATGAACTTCCGAATTCAAAATTTCTTCAATTTTAACCTTAAGCGGGGTTTTCTTTGTAATTTTTCTTAAAAATATCTTCTAAATTAGTCCCAGTACCTAGAATACGTCTATTTCTATTACCAAAATTATTAACAACGTTAAATTATAAATACACTCCTAAGATTTGAATAAAATACAAATCATTTCTGTAGTTTTAAAAATTACATTTCACCCCTTAAGGTTTCTAATTTCATAACAAATCGCGTATTTTATTAATAAATTATCAAGTCAATTAACAGTTTTTAATGATTTTAGAAATATATTTCAATTAATAATCTAGATAATTTTACTATTGTATAAGAGAACAATTATGAATTTTATTTTTTTAGTTAATTCTATTAAATAAAAAATTCTAACAAGGAATATTTATAATTTTTCAAACCACGTGAAGTAATCTGTACTTTAAGTAAACCTCAGAGAATGTATTTGTAATTTATCCTACTAACAAAGAGGAAGTATTTTTCTCAATTCTCTGCTATTCCCTTCAATGCAAATATTGTGTATATATATAGAGTTCATTTGGGAAGTGAGTTAACTTTTTAGCTTTTTGACTATTTTAGCCTGTGACTAAAAAGTTTGTTTGAGAAGTGGCTATCTTTTAGGCTTTTTGGCCTTTTTTTGACTATTTTAATAGGCTATTTTAGTTTTTGTGTTTGGAAAATTGAGTTAAATTTTTGGGTTGATTGTTGTATTAGAAAAGGGAGCTTCTATTTGCACACACCACTTCCCTTCTTTGCACACGCTTAATGATATTTTTTTTGTTACATTTTTATCCTAAAATAAAATTACCAAAATATCCCCTTCTTCTTCAACCAAAACCCTAACCGTAACTCTAACCCTAATACCCAACACAGTCCCTCCCCTCCGGTCTTTCCCTTTCTTAACATAGTCCCTTCCTCCGTTGCCTCCCCCTAAACCCTTCTCTTCTAGAATCGAAGCCCCTCTCCACCTCGTCGCTCGTCACTCGTCACTCACTCACCCTCCTCACCACCCCCGTAACCTTCACTTCGCTACGCAACACCACTGCCGCAGCAGCTCCCACCCCTTCGCGATCCTCAATCCGCAGAGAGAGAGATAGAGAGAAAGAGAGAGAGAGAGAGAGGCATCGTGGAACCTAAATCTGAAAGAAGACTCATGTTTTTACCATTCGGACTACCAGTATCGAAATAATCACCTACATTCGAAAATCAACCATCGAACCAACGAATTTGGTTCGACTATCAACATCCGAACAAAACATATTGGTTCGATTATCAACCTCCGAAACCCCATTTTCGCAAATAAGAGGAGAGAGAGAGAGAGAGAACGAGGAGATGAGGTGGGGGTCGCAGTAGTGTCGCCGATGGGTGGAGGAAGATGTGGGGATGGCGATTGGAAGTGAAAGGGAACGGTGGTGCTGCGTCGCCGCTGGCGAGGTGGTTACTGGAATGGAAGGTGTGTGGATTGGGAGTGTTGAAAAGTTGTGTGTGTGGGGATATAATTAGAATAAAAGTGTGTGTAATAAGTAAATAAATATATATATATATATTTTTTAAGGTGTGTGAATTAAGAAGGATATGTAACAAGTGAAATAGGTGTGTGCAAATAGAAGTTCCCATTAAAAAATGTGTTTGAAATGATGTTCGAGATTGAAATGACAAATTTGCCTTTAACCTCATTTTTCCCAAAATTGATCTACAGGGGAAAAATAGTCATTTAACTGCTTTGTGGGATGATAGTGGTAGCTTCAGCCTACACTGTGTTGGTCACAGTGTAGGCTATTCGTGCAATGACAACCACTACTTTTTTTTATTATTTTTAATCAATGGGTTAGTGTACTATTTGAGGCTAAAAGGTTTTTTTTTTTTTTTTTTTTTTTTTTTTTTTTTTTTTTTTTTTTTTGTGTTTGAGGCTATTATTTTGCCTCAAACTTGGGTTCCCAAACACTCCTAAAGCCTCGTTTGGGATAGACTTTTTGATTTTGTTTACTTTTATGAGAGAAATAATGTAATGATTATGGTTTGAATGTGATATTTTATCATATTAGGCTAAAAAGCCTATTTTACTTTTTTGATTATTTTAGCCAAAAAAATCCCAAACCTAACTTTCCAAACGAGCACATAATCCACTATCACTACTAACTCTTACACCGTCATTACCACCACCACCCTAGCCTCACCCTCCTTCACACCACCATCCAACCACCCCAGCACCTTCACCTCAACACCCCTTCCCCTCACCATCAATAAACCCCAATAATCCCTTCCCCACTACCATCTAGCCATCCTCCCTCCCCTTCTCTCACAACTCGTATCTCCCTTTTTCATCCAATTGCAAGCAATCAAACAAAAAAAATGAACAAAAGACATACCCAAGAAATTGCAAAATCACACAAAAATAGCTGTGTGGGTGAAAATCTGACCACACTGCCTGCTTAGTGATCAACTGGAGAGCACAGGCATAATAGATGGCTTCAGCAACCTGAAACAGAAAGAAAAGGCTCCGGCGGTGGTTCTTCCACCCGGAGGCACTCCGACGATCAAGTCAGTATATCTCTCAAAGATAATCAAGTGCAAAACTTAATACTCAAAACATAAATTGCATACCTTAGACCCACGGGGGTGCCTCTCTTTTATAATATACTCAATCCAAGTCCTACTAGAAGTAAGACTTCTATGAACTCCAATTTAGTGCTTACTTTGGACTCTTTAAGAGATAAAGATAAACTCCCTAAGAGCTTTATCCTTATCTTGGTTAAGTCCCCTCTTCTTCTTAGGACTCTTGTCCTTTATTCGCTTTATCTCGGATTCCGATATCTTCGGAGATAACCTCGGTCTTGTAGAGATCACCTCGGCGTTACGACCAGGACAAGTGGCACCTCGGCTGACACGTCGGCGTCACCTTGCCACGTGTTGGTACTCAGAAAATATATCCCCACAACTGCCCCCTAGGTTCTATTACCTTGGCATTTTGAGGTGACGGAACCTATATTGATATTTCTTTCTGCATTGTGGCCAAGAAACTGTTTAGCTGAGATAATCTGCTTCCAGCCGATGTGTTCTCTTCGGAGAACAAGGTTTCGAACGTACTCCACCACGCGCATGAGCTGTCATGCATATATCTAACCGTTCCTTTCACGTGTTTTGTTTTTATTGGCCCGTTCCTGCGACGCGCCTTAAGGCTGTCTTTTCATCCGTCTGC